AAAAATGTAATATTACTAGTACTGGAACTTTCTCATTTCATGTAATCGTTTTTCCAAATCGAATCGTGTTCGTGTTTGTTAATTTTTTTTATATTGATATCATACAAGTTATATTATTAATAATTAATATATATATATATATTTATATAATATGTTATATATGTATATACTATTTATATAATATATAAAATTATAAAACATATTTTTGTTCGCGAACTTGAACTTCGATAACTAAATAAACATAATTTTATGTTCGAGTTCGATTCGATTATTAAACGAACGAGTTGTTATCGACCACGAACGAGCTTTATTTGCGAGCAGATCAGTTTGATAACAACCCTAGTGGAATTAGAATTAAAGTTGAGTTGGATTTGAGTTAAAAAAAAAAATGATTGGTTAAAATGAATTGATATTCTTAAAAANNAAAAAAAAAAAAAAAAAAATCTTGTATCCAAGCATGCTTTATATGACGCTGAGTCAAAATATTTGGAAATTATTAGATTTCTTTATACATGAAGCGTCAATAACTAATATATATAGAGACAAAAATTCTATGAAACCATCAGATGGTTCCTTTATTGAGTCATTCATAACTTAATGTGCTGACACATGTTCAATGCGTATTTATTGCAGGACACGTATCAATACACGATTTGTGAATAACTATAGATGTTTCCATAAACTGAGTCATTCGACGGCCCATAGCAAATTTAACGAGCAGTTTTTCTATGAAACCAAAACACTCAATTAATTCTTTACACGACAAGTGAAAATATATATATCCTCTAATTAGTTAAAAATCACAACTAGTTCTTTTTTAATTGGCACTTTTTACTTGCAAATTGAATAATATGAGAATATCTAAATGAATTTCAAGATGTCACAAATTTATGTGTTTATATTGTAATTGTGATAACTACATCTCAATCTGAAATCTTGTAGTGTCATCTCCAAATCAGTGCCGTTTAATGCTGCATAATCAATTTAATTCTTAAATCTGTCACATAAAACACTAACATTATTTTTATTTTTATTTTTAAAGTGAACAACGTTACTATCCTCGCCTAACAATTTTGAAAAAATGATTGGATTTGGAAGATGTACCCCGTATGAATACCGAAAGAGTAAATTATAATTTTAATATTATATGTTTCACTATTTTAATTTTTTCGTCCTTTTAGAATTGTGTTTTTTATTTTCGTCCCGTATGTTTGAAAAAAAAGTTACAAAAATGTTTTTTTTCGCAACAAAAATGTCCTTTTATGTTTTGCAGAAAAGGTGTTTCAATTTCGTCTTTTATATATTAAAAGGACCTTTGTGTGATATGGGACAAAAATAAAAAATACTATTCAAAAAGAAAAAAAAAAAATTAAAGTAGTGAAACATACATGACTAATACTCCTCGATAGAAAAAATGTATCATTATTCTTTGACATCTATCATTATATAAAAAGAATAACCTTTTTATGATTTCCCGCCAAAATTTACCGCCAAAATCATTTAATGAATAAATGCAGATTTTTCTGATGGTTCTTTTTTTCCTATTTTATAGGTTAACAAAATAACAGATTGTGTTGATATTATATAAAAATCTATCATTACAAAATCATATTAAAAAATAATTGATAGCTTATAAAATCTCATAGCATAATTCTACACGAATTTATCTCTTATTGGTTACAAAATTTCATTGCATACGTCTCACGAGTTTAAAAAATTTCATCACTTATCTATCAGATTTAAGAAAAAAAAAATAGAAACCAATTCATAATTACTATTAGAAATCAATTATCTTTTAAAAAAAAAAAAAATAAAATAGATACCAATTTATAATTACTATTAGAAATCCATTATATACTATAAAATGCTAATTTTCATCGTTCTAATTATTAATATTTTTACAAATATTATAAGCTAACAATACATCCTCGATAACAACGTAAAACGTATAATAATAATTTTGAAATTTTGTTTTAGATAGAAATAGCACAATAAATTCGGTATCATCTGACCTAATGTGTTTATTAAATTAGGCTTATAATATTTTAGATACTTTAAACAAATTGTTTAGACATTTTTTTTACATATTCGTCTATATATACATACATATATATATATATACATATACACATATACATAATTGATATTTAATTTAAATATTTGTAGACATATTTTCTTTAAAAAATAATTTAAAAAAAAAAAAATTTACACAATGTTAAATTCAAATATTTTTAGATATGTTTTCCTTCTAAACTTGTTTAGAAAAGTTGTTAGTGACTTCATATCTTTCAAAAATAATATAGGAAATTTGAATACTTTTACATATACTAATATAATATTTTAGATGTTTTTAATATTAAACATACAAATTTTATATTCTTCTATACAAAATAATGTAAAATTTATCTTCTCTTATACAAAATAATTTTACATTGTTTGATTTAGAATCTTTAATTTATAATCATTAAGTATTATTTATCTCTCACTTTAATTTATAATTATTTTTTTCTTCCTCTTTTTAAATATGATGAATAGTAGTTTCCATTTTCGCCATTGAGTGACTCAAACTTGAGATCTCTTTATAATATTTTTAATTTAATATTGTTCCCGTGCATCGTACGGGCACACACTAGTTAATACAAACAGCACGTGCAATGAGGCGCCATACTAGGATCTCCCCAATAAATGCCACGTGCCCACGTCTATTTCACCGCACTTGCCAATTAAAATCATAAACCTCATTTATTATCTGTAATTGTCAGTGATTAAATAATGGTGCATTCATTCAATCGTTTCAATATTATACTACCCCTTTTTAAAATAAGTGTCGTTTTGACTTTTTTAATTCATCCATTTTGTTATGTATCTAGACATAATAAAATGGATGGATCAAAAAAGTCAAAACGACACTTATTTTGAAAAGGAGAGAGTATTAAATAATTAAAAAAAATGGTGCATTAATACGGAAATTCTATTACAAGCCTCAACCTTCTTGTAATTGTATTAACTAGTACTCCCTCCTATTCATTATAAATGTCGTTTTGACTTTTTTGATTCATCCATTTTGTTATGTATTTAGACATATTAATGTCTAGATACATAACAAAATGGATGAATCACAAAAGTCAAAACGACATTTATAATGAACAGAAGGTAGTATAACACTCGTGTATTACACGGGTATTTGCTAATTTTTTTCTTAAAGTCTAAAATTAATGAGAAAAAATAGTTGAAAATTTAAATACATTTTACAAATATATATATATTATATATTTAGTATAACACTTTTTATTTGTGCGACTTACATGTGCTATATTTTATAATAATTTTTAACTTACAACATATAACTACATTAAAAATGAATATATCAATTGATAAATAATTTTATTTTATAATAATTTTTGTCCATTGCATATGGAACTGGAAGAGTCATTGTTGACAATTCTCTTGGCATAGTGCTAATAATGGACTATATCAAAATGGCTCAATTAAGTGCTTCTTCTATTAGTGCAGTTTCTAGAAAAAAATATATCAAACGACGCAACGCACCTTGGGTCACTATGGAAACAGCTTCCTTGTATAATTACAAGGGTAAGGTCTGCGTACAACTGATCCCCCAGACCCCAACCTGTTGGGAATATATTGGGTATGTTGATGATAAATAATTTTATTTTTCTAATGAATTTTAATAAATATTATTATTTTTTATTATTATAAAGATAAATATAATTTATTTATTTCATATGGTTGTCAAATCGAAGATCGTCAAAAGATGATTAATTTGATATATAATATACGTAAAACCGATAAGAAATATAAAAGTTATCAACTTTTAAAATACATTTACAATTCAATAGCTAATTGAAGGAAACAAATCAAATTCAGAGATATATTAGTCACTTAGTGTCTCACTATGTAAAATTACAAATAATTAAAGGGCTATATTAGTATAAGTGATATTAAAATACCTAAATTAGATAAATAATATTTATAGAATGTCCGAACCT